TAGTGAACATGAAGCGACAATGGCTAAACTGAGAGAAGCTCTGGAGCAGAAAGACGCTGATCTCGTACGTGTCAACAAGGAACGAAATGATGCTGAATGGTTTCTCGGTGAAGAGCGGCAACACTTGAAGGATGCTAATCAACGGTAATATTTATTAGCATAGCTATTTCATCTACGACTAATTAATGGAAACACAGAAAAAGATTGAGGGATGGAAGAGATTAGATGAGGAATGGAAGAGAGATTTTGCTTCTGTATCATTTCGCGACAATTGAATTCGAATTGAATATCTTTCATTTGTTAAGCTGTTGAGACTAATATTCTTCGCCAATTTATTTAGCTAATTTGTCGCAGTTGAAGTTTTCGTTTTTTCGCTTTGTCTTTTATCGATCGAATCAAGATGCACTCTTCCTCATATTCAATTCCGTCATTTAGTTGCTTAGAATTGCAAATTTATAATTCTTCGCTTTTATCTTTTTACAATCCATTTGCCCTTTTAAATTGGATAAATGCGCTCTTTGTGCTTTATTGTAGGATCGCTCTACTCGAAGAGGAACTGATTTGTGTGAAAGCGAAACATGCAGATATAATTCACAATTTGAGGAATGAAGCATTCGAGTTGAGTGAAAAGTTGGTTTTTCTTCCTTCTTTTCATTTACGCAGGATAAATATGGTAAATTCGCTAATATCAATTAATTAATAAGCCACGGCATTTCTGATGTCATGCAGAGATATACATGATTATTTTATATGCATATAAGAGAACGCGAAATGATATCTAGAGTTTAGCTGGCTGAAATATGAAAAAAGACACGCATTTATTTTGACGTGAATATTGCTAAATATGATATGAACTAAAAGTTAGGGATTTGAACTAATTTTGAATTTGTGAAATAAGTCAAGACTGATCGGGATAGAGACATTCTTCTGATATAATATTGTGTTCCGATTTTACGTCTTCGTTTTTCATTTCGTGCATGCAATTGCAATCGGGTCAATGCTGTAGCATTCAGGATCTATTTTCCTTTTTTACTTGAACATATGTCGGTGATACATTATTTGATTCTATCCATTTGAACACATCACTCTAGAAAGCGGAATTACATCTGAGTGCTCTTCCTTGTAACGTAAGTTTAAAATTCCCAACCAAATTGCATTCATAAAATGGTAATGCATTCACCTTTGTGATGATACCTTGGTTAATTTTGCTTTTCAGAAATAAGAAATTGAATGAAACTCTGATTAAGACCGAAGTTGTGATAAGGAATCTATCGAGTGATACAGAAATGACAACGCTTCTTTTGGGGCAGACTGAAGGACCGGGAAATTTGGAAGAAGAATTCAAGCAGGCTTGTTTTTCTTCCTTTTTTTGTCTTTTTTGATTATTTAAGATTTTCTTGCTTTTATTCTTATCACATGAAATGTATAAATGGCAGATTTGAGTGAAAATTGTAACTAAAATTGATGTTCAAATTAAATCAGGCAGAAGCTAAATTGAAATTGCAATTAATAAGTGATTTAAAAATTGTTCCTATTTTTAGTTATGTAAAAAATATGCGCAATTAAGTGCTCTCCTTGCAACCACTCAAGAATATCTGGAAAAACTACAAGTAGAGGCTTCAGAATTTACAAATTCCAAGTAAATTTTAATTCGTTTTTATAAATGACGGCAAAAGCTGCACGGTTGTTAATTTTGTTGCTGCAAATTTTATGGTTGAAATAGATTCACAAATCCGAAATTGACACCAGTTCTTAATTCTGTCGTCAACTTCAAAGTGCTTATCAGTTATCAGTTCGCCCATTACTGTTGTGTTACCAACAAACAGATAAAGTTTTTCGGGTTTTCATGATTTATGAATGACCTTTAATCTTTGCATTTGCTCAAACCATATTAAAATCATTTTTAATTTGCCCAAAATTATTGAAGAGAGTTGAGGAAAGTAATCGAAAATTTGAATAACGAATTACATCAATGCAAGGCGGAAAATGCAAATTTGCTGAAGCAGAAAAACGATGCAGAATGGCAACTTGGTGAGCACCGTGAGTGGCTCCGTATTGCCAATAATCGGTAAATACTTTCTCTAATCTTTTACAGTTCTTTAAAAATAATTTTTCGTAATTTATTTGGAAAGAATTCAAAATATTCCAATCATAATTCCTTATTGATTTTTGAATGTTTTGAAATTTATTCATAATTTAACAATTTCCCCTTAACCTCTCTTTTTTTCTGAATTTAACGAAATATTCTATGGAACATATTTGATGAAGTGGTTGCCGGATTTTTTTTTCAGAATAACTGGCTTGGAGGATGAATTAACATATATCAAAGAAGCTGATAAAAAAACGCTTGAAATTTTACGTATGGAAAATGAAGAGCTAAACCAAAAGTTTGTTTTTTCCTACTTCAGGAAAAAACTAATAATTGTAACTTGAAAATACGAATTTTAAGTTGAGCCATCTTCCGGTTCAGACCATTGTTTCTGCCGGATCAGCTAAGCATATGATTCTTTCTAATGGTAGAATGAAGTGGCTGTGAATGTATGTTATTTGCGCCAATGTGAATATGCTAATCAGTTTTTGCTCTTTGACGCTTAAATGGTAACACACATCTTTCTCATACTTGCATTATTACCTGAAAAAGAGCATATTTTTTGGGAGTAAAATTATATTTGGCTTGTACTGATTAATGATTTTATGTATGATTAAATTAAGTCTATGCAAATTGCATTTTTCTGAATCCCTTTCAGGAATGCACAATTGAAAGCGGATGTGGAGCATTTCCAAGACGAAATCCAAGGTGCGCTGATGAAGGCAACGAAAGAACATGAAGGTGAAGAGGTGAAGAATTTTTAAATCAGTTCCGCTAATCTGTTGTTCTTCCAATCAAAAATCAATAGACGGTAAATTTTCATGAAAATATTTGTTTCAGCAAAACTATTCCGAATGCAAAGAAGTTCCAGCACTGAACCGTGGCGAAAATATTGATGAAAATCTCAGGTATCATTTGTTTCTTATTACTGCAATGAAAGTAACACATTGATAATTGATGACAAAACTAATAGCATTCATCAAGACTCTTCACAAATATATATTGGGTGCAAAATATATTAGTACAAACGACATATTATGATAGCCACTATTATCTGATTTATATTTGTTTTTTTTGTGATTCTCAAAATTTTTCAAATTTTACCTAATTCTAAAAGCAAAATTATCCACAGTTATAAATCATTGTTGATTTTCATTGTCGTATCTTAGCTCGATAAGCTGTTTGTTGGAAAATCTATGCAAGGAATTGAATTATCAGAAAATTATTGATACCCTTATGGAGCAACGTAGCAAAGCTGAACAATTGTTGGAAGAAAGAAAGGAATCGATCACTGATGCTTACAATAAGTTTGTTTAATTAAAGCACAAAATTGAGATTATTTCCTATGCAATATCGCATGCAACACTGATAACTTCGTACTGATAGGATTACTTCATACCATAATAGTGATGACGGAAATGTCTTGGAGAAATGTCTTGTACTCTTTATTTCAGCGATTTCTCAAACAGAATCTCTCACAGATTCCATTTTGACAGAATACCAATTAACAAATTGCATAAGTTCTTGTGCATTATTGCCTTTAATAAGCTACATGAATTCACGTACCACAGTGCAACTTTCACGTCATTATTACGGATGTGAATTCACGTATTACAGTGCAATTTTACGTCATTATACGTCTTTCAGAAACTGTGAATTTCAAGTTTTAAAAAATTTGCTATACTAACAAAACAATGTCTAATCAAGCAAATTTGAGGATTCAAATAAGTCATGAGAAAGTTCAAATACTAAATGATTAAAAAAATAAGTTGAATTAATGTGAATTAGTTTAAAAAATAGTTTGAATTTTCTTTAGAATCGTTGAATTAGAGAAGGAAATTTTGGGAAGTACACTGAAAGAAGAAATGGAAGTTACTGAAATGTAAATTTTTTTCTTTATTGATATTTTCTAAAACTTTTTTCCTTATCGATTTTCTATGCAAACGTTCTAACATTAAACGCTTCCGAATTTTTAAAAATTTCAAATTTTCTTTTTACTGCTTTTTTTTCGATGGAAAGTTTATTACTCATTTTTTCGTTATTTCTCATTATTTTTTTGAGATCTACAGTGAAAGTATCACAATTCTTGATTGGATGCACTTGATATATTCAAATTTTTAATTGATCAAATGACATTGCCAATTATTCTTTACATTATTTGTATATTCATCTGGTGTATTGATTAATTAATCACTTCATTATTACTTTCTGCATTTTATAGAAAAACAGCCTACACGAAAATTGCAGAAGAGACCGAGAATCGTTCGAAATATACTCGGTCAGAAGAATTTATGTACGTTTGAAGTTCTATTTAAGACTTGAATAACGAAGTACTGAATGATAATTGATATTTGAGGATTCATGGAAATTATTTGATAAAATTATAATTTGTCTGCTAATTTCAATTTAATTTTAAACATCATTCTTAGTTTATATTAACTATTAATATTTATTTTGTAATGCAGCGGAAGGGAGTTTTATAATAACTTAAGTCAAGCAAGAATT